CTTCAATATATAATTCCATTGCATCTTTTGCTAATCTTTCCACAATATTTCTAAAATTCGTAAAAATTTCACTTTATAACAACAAATGGGAAAGTAAAGAAGAATACATACAATTTAGCCTTCAGAATATCGATTAGAAAAAGTTTGCAATTTTTGATATCTTGAATAATAAAAAATTAAATTAATTTAATTCTTAAGTACCTGTGTTATGTTATGGTTATGTTATACCGTTTAAAAGTCTTCAATTTCCAATATAGTGTGGGAATTGAGACTCATAATTTTATTTAAAGCAGTTCTACATTTAACATCGCTCATATTATAAATGTATATGCATTTTGGCGTGAAGAGTAATTTAAAAAACAATAATTATTATTTTTAGGTAAACTATAAATATTAGTAAATTATATTAAAAAATTGTAGACATGGGTACAAGACAACGCCTGTCGGGTCATCTAGTAGTTTATAAAAAAGCAAATATATTAATTCAACTATATTATTATTGCTACAGTATAATCAGCATTATTTTAATTCTATTTAATTTTTAGACGGTTGAAGAACTGTACGAATTAGCTGACCAAATCGTCGGAGAGATTCCTCCTCAACAACAAGCAAATAAAACATGAGAATTTATCACAATTGATAATGATGGAAAACAGATTCAATAAAAAAATTGTAACTTCACCAAAAAAATGCTCCAATTGACGGCAAAAATTTGGCCCAAAATGTTACTGAGAAGAGCAATTGGCTAAAGATTGGTAAAAATTATGGTACAAATTGAAAATTATAACCAAAAATTCCAAGCACACATTGCTATAAATAAAAATTACTAAATTGAATTAAATTCTGATACCAACAAATTAATTAATTAAAAATTTTATCAATCATATTGTATTTCATTACTATGGATCAATAAAATTGATATTGTGGAACGTGTAGTCTCGATTGTAAATTGAATAATATACAATTATGGAGACATTTTTGAATTATTTTATTAGATTTGAATATTTATTTGTCGCTTTAAAAAAATTATATAACATGTAATTAATATAATTGAATATTAACCAAAAATTTTAATAAAATATTTATACTAAAAGGCTCCTATTACAATATTCATTTATGTTGTTATTTGTATATGTTAAATCATTCTTCGAACTGAATGATATCTGTCTGTCTGTCAATGAATGATAACTATAGTTTGAAACATAATTTTTAATAATGTAATGTTCTGAATAATCTAATTTTATTAAATTAAAAATATTAAAAATATAAAAATATCCTTACATTAAGCTTTCTTAGAATACAAAACCGGTGTAAAAACCCCATTAAAAATGTGCACCTGCTGAATTTATCGTATACCTATTTTAAGAAACACTATTTTATATATTCTAAAAAGTTTTAAGTTTGTTACAAACTTGCATTCATGAGAAGTAAAAATTTCTTGACATGATAAATGCACATAAAATATGTGTTTCTGTTTTTATAGTGTTCATATGAACTCTCACGACAAAGATTTTATGATCAATATATTTCAGATGATAAAAGTTTTGGAATCTGTGCATGTTTTAATGCAAATGTAAAAAATATAATTGTTGCTTTAATTATTCTAATCATATTTTTATATATAAAATACATAATATATCAGTATTCATAGATGCTATAAAAACAAATCACTAAAACTGCAGTAGATTGAAATGAAATGATAAAATGAAAGTTTTAGAATTCTATGCATGTTTTAATGCAAATGTAAAAAGTATAATTGTTCCTTTTATTATTATAAGCATATTTTTTATATAAAATACATAATATATCAGTATTCATAGAAAATATAAAAACAAATCACTAAAACTGCAGTAGATTGAAATGAAATGATAAAATGAAAGTTTTAGAATTCTATGCATGTTTTAATGCAAATGTAAAAAATATAATTGTTGCTTTCATTCTTATAAGCATATTTTTTATATATAAAATACATAATATATCAGTAATCATAGACGGTATAAGAACAAATCACTAAAATGCAGTATATTGAAATAAAAGGATAGAAACTAAGTCAACAATCCAAATAATTTTTTTTTCAATATTTTGTATGCATTTTTAAAAAAAATGCTTGTCTTAACAACTAAATAGCTCTTTTAATTGTAGGTATAGTATAAATAAGTAACAGTAATCGACTAAATACAGGGTGTTCCAGAACCTAACGGTTAGCCGAAATGGGGGGATAGTATTGGCTGAAAAAAATTGGAGAGAAAATTATCTTATGTTGTTTGGAAATTACTAGATTTTAAGTTCAATCTGAGGTTCTAGTGAAATTATTTTTTAATTATTGTGGTCATTTTTTATAAATTTTGTTAATTTAAACTTTGGAGCCATAAAACCCAGAATAACATTTCTAGGACTACAGTAAAAAATAATAACACAATTGTCTCAAATTTTGAAGAAATAAACCTTTTTGTTAAACTAGAAATTTATAATTTTTATAAATTTACCATAAAAACCAAAAAATGATCACAATTTCATCAAAGCTTTAAGTTGCATTTCCAAACTACCTGAAATTATTTTACTAATTTTTTCAGTACAGTTGGCTTGACGTTAAATTCTGGGTCACCCTGTATAAGTAGAAATTTCTACTATACAAGATATTATATAACATTATATAAAAACTACTAAAAAAGACTTAAATTTTAATAAATACTTATATAAGACGTTTGTATGAAAAGCTCTGAACGAGCTTAATCTATGATTCATAATATCTTAATGAATCTTTATTACCCATATTAGCATTATATTTTATTTAATAAAAAATATTATTTAATAATTGTACGTGTATCAACTGTTTGTTTTTTTTATAAAAGTTTCATTGTTTCATACTATGTATAGTATATGCTTAATTATAGTCATTTTCATTTATTTATCCTTTATAAATGTGGAATAAATTTGGAAACTTACAAGTTTGTATATTATTATTATTATTATTATTATTATTATTATTATTATTATTATCTTCATTATTATTATTATTATTATTATTAATAATAATATTATTTTACACATCGAATGGCAATTTGAACAATTATATTCTATAAGCCAGGATTTAACATACCATTATTTGAAGCAAGTTTTATTCAACATATGTTATAGAAATATTCATCAAAACATAACTTTTTTTGTTCAAATAAAAATATAACTTTTTTAAACAAAGTATAACATTTTCATTTAAATATAAATATATATGGAAATAATTTTCCTATATAAAAAAATCTATTTCTGATAAAATACATATGAAAAACATCTTAATAATACAGGAAAAAATACTTGAAATAGATGCAGAAAAAATATATACTTAAAATAGAATATAAGGAAAGATGTGTTTTTGATGCGAGAGGATTTAAACAATAATATATTTAGCGGATTTATGTAAATATTTTTTTATACATTATATCAAGATAATAACAATATATTTAGATGATTCAATTATAATCTACCTTCAAGAATAAAACTATGAATAGCAATGCATTTCATATTTACATACATATTATATTGATACTATTATCAAGCCCATCTAATAAAGCTTTTATTTTTTTAATTCTTTAATAAATTTTATTCTGATTATTACTATTGTTCTTGAATACTGCGACTCATGTTTTTAGAATATTTGTGGAAAGATAGAAGTATTATAAGTTTAAAATTTAAGATTGTAACTATATATGAATGAAATGACGACTGGTTGATATTACATAACTTTTATATATACTTCATTCATTCATATTTGCTGAATTTAACAGAGTCGAACTTTTAATTATAATGGAATTTAAAGAGCCATTTTTAGGAAGATATTCTCACTAGTATATAAGTATCAAATGTAATAAAATATTATAAGTAAATATTTATTATAAATAATTGTAATTTTTAATCATATATGTGGCCTACTCTTTTTATAAATTTTAAGGTTTAATTTATTAAGGTTTATTATTCATCATTGATAATGCTAATTTTATATTTATATATTTAAATTGATCCAATAAAATTAGTAACACACTTTTAACCCTATTTAATATTTTAAAACAAAAACAAGAACTTTTTTGGCTTCGAAATCAATGACAAAAGTTGAAAACATTAATGCAGATAATAAGAACTTAACCAGTTATAAAATTGAGTGAAATGTTATTTTTTATGTAGGAATATACACAAAACTATTTTAGAAAAAACGTTTATATTATTATTATTCAGCCTGTTACTACTTTTTTATAGTTCAACAGTTGAGTACAAAAAAATATAGTCAGTCAATTTTATATATTCAAAACGTTGTAAAAATATATTAAGTGAGGCTCACTCACTGATTTAGAGGTCCTGGTGTCGATCCAGCTTCGAGGAGCCTGATATCAAGCAGTATTGACATTGGAAATACAGATAGCAAGATGTTTCTAAGTGGAAATATACCTCATCCAGCATTACTGCACCAATAAAATATTTTTGCTTTTACAAAGGTTGTAATAATAAAATTTACCATACAGAGATGAGACAACTGTTTGGGTTGTCATCTATAAAACCGACGTAGTATTAAGTCAAATTAGTTCTACAGCTTATAGGATCTTCAAGTTATGATTGCTGCTGGAAAAAACAATAAAAATTAAACGAAATTTATATGTAGGAAAGTTGTTGCTATTTGCATCTAGTTCAATCTGATCTAATTATTATGATAATTCTATTCAATAAAATATTATTCCAATCCTGGCATTAAGGGGTGAACCCGATACGTTGTTCGAAATATGTGGAGGCATCATAATTCATGCATAGATATATTTTTCAGCCTACGCACATTTCCATCTCTTGTACTTGCGCATTTTTCTCAAACATTTTCCTATATAAAACGCAACTTCGATCAGTGCAACTGTTTTATCAAATCGAAACTTGAGACACAACCACATCCCTTAGTAGTGAATAAATAATTATAATCTGATAAAATAATATTTTTGTTATTCTACTGATAGAATTTAACCAGAATGAAAAACCGTGACAAACTTTTGCTTATTTTTATAAATAGTGTCATTTTGATAGATTTTGCAACAGCGATTGCTTTGAGAAATCATTTGAATGATGGGCTCTTGGAATGGACCAATGTTGATGATGTTCTTGGTAAGAATTAATTAAAATTATATGTATATATACATATATATATATACATATATATATATATATATATATATATATATATTACTGTTTATGTTTGACTTTATTTTAACATTAACAATTTTTAGCTAAAAAAACCTAAACTAGTCTTGGCTAATCGTCTCTTATCTCTTCAATGTTTTCAAGAACATTTGCAATGATCTTTATGACAATAAAATTATGTGTTTATAAAATGAAAATTTTGACTTTCTCAAATCTTGACAAGACGACTAAGAACACAATTAAGAAGTATGAAGTAGCTTTTTTTTTCAAATGATTATGGAAGCAAATTCTTAACAAAAGTTGATAGGAATTATAAGATCGTAAAACAAATACAAACAAATTAAGTAATATCATCTCGAAGACATAAATAAAATTTAAATTTCTAACAACCGGTAAAGTTATCTTTACAAAATAATTATTCAGTTTAAATATTTTAGCAAAATTAATATATAATTTTATTTTGGAATTAATTAAATAAATTTATTAAAATTATTATTAATTATTATTTCCAATTGTTTTAGGTTTAGGATCAGTTTTAACTGATTCGGACCTGGTATCAACATCAACATTCCTCCTAAGGCTATTGGAAATTTTCCAGACAAGACCTCTTCCTATGATCTACGTGGAAGATATCAAGTTGGATGAACCAGATATCCGAAAAAGGCAGCATATTGATAATAAATCGTAAGTAAAAAAATACTCAATGTATTATTCCATAGGCTGTGCAAAATTGTTCAGGAATTGATCAGGATCCTTAATTATTTTATTTTACATATATTTTTATATAATCAGAACCTTACGCCCTATAAGGTATTGAGCTGAAACTTCTCCTAACTTCGAACGAGTATTTTTATATGGTAACTTATTGGTTAATCCATCCATATTTGATAAATTGTTATTATTAGAATTCATTTAATAGGGCTGACATTTATAAAATATTATATCATTTTTTATTACAGGCCTCCAACTCGAAGATACATTTGCACACCAACTCGTGAAGACATCTTCAAATTGCTGGTGGCTTTGCAAGAAATGCGAAGAGAAGGTCCTCAAAAATCTATTAATTTTTGCAATTTAGAACGATCTACAGGGGCAATTTTCACAAATATACGTTTACTGAGAACTCGAGAAATCACCACTCCAACTCCTCCACGATAAATACATAATAATCAAATAATTATATAATACCTAATATTCAGAATATTAAATATATGATATAAAATAAAGACTATTAACCGTATTATAGATAGTGAAATAAATTATGAATGTAAGGTATTTTAAAGTGTAATATAAAAAATATATAATTGATGTCTAAAAGATTACAACGTATAATGATAAAATTAATAGGTAATAAACATATTTTTATGGCAAACATTGCCTAAATAATATCATTATACATTGAATAATCATTAATGTAAAATAAATGGCTCCAATGTAAAATAAAACTATACAAAGATTATAATTTTGTTGTTGCAATTGATTTTTTTTATTTAAATAGATCAGTTATTGCGATACTGCATAATAAATAAATACCAAAATTCAATTAAGAATTAATTTAGTACATTTTTAAAAGGTAAACCACTAGATTTTCCTTTCAAAATTCTATGTTATTTGTCAAATTAATTACTTAATATCTTCTATATAGACAGATTGTAATTTATAAGAAAAAAAAAGGATAATAAATAAAAGGCAATTCGGTAATCGGCCTTATTTATACTTTGAATAATAGATAATTGAGATCAACTCAATATTTTGGAAGAGTATTATTCAATCAGTATTTAAATTTACAAAACTAGACAGGTTATAAAAAGCATATTTTTGGACAATACTCTAATTATCGTTAAGTGATAGTGTTATCATCATTATAGTTACAAAAGCGATAAATTACTTTTAGTTTGTTGCTTTTTTTAGTGAAAATATATGATTTTTTCAATACAATTAGAATGCTGGTGACAAAAGTTATTTTTGACATATAATTGTGGTGAGTTTTAAAATTTTAATTGTATTTATTTGAATTGATGAATTTTGAGTGATTTCTCCTTTGGTATCATTCACACAAAACATTATCATTAATATTTTATATTTACTAACTATAAGTGTAATTTTGTTGCTTCTGATAGCAATTATTAAATAATTTGATCCTTTGTTGAACCTTTTAAAATTTGACATTAAAAAAGTAGTAGTATGTTCAGAATCTCCGTTTCAGAATTTAAAACTGATAAGTTAAATTGGTATCATTTGGTTTAAAATACTTTTGACTTATCATGGTTTCGTGTTAAAAATATATTTAAACAAAAAGTTACTAGAATTGTTTTTAACAGGATTTCATATTTCACTAAATTTGGATATATTATAATATACCTATGGCTGACATCCATTTTTCCAATAAAATTCCAAACCCTTTTAATAAAATTATTTTCACTTACCTTTGATATATATAAAATGTACCATTTTTCTGGATCTGTTGATAACAGTTTCACAAATTTTAAATTTCACAAAGTACATAATTAAATAAGTCATTATTTTAAGCACTAGCTCTTGTAAAATTTCTTGTAGTATTCTTGATTAACACTAAATTTATAGGCTTTAATTTACAAAAATTAATTTCAAGCACTATAATAATATTATCCGATATTAACACTCATATCCGATCACAAAAAATATCATTTTAACTTGTGCATACATTGACTACTATAAACTGAATAATCGATTTAATAATTTAAAAAATATTGCAAACATGCCTCATTTATTTACATTTAAAACTTTATGTAATCTCTAAATATCGGTATTAGTCATACTCTTTGCAATAGATATATATACTTTACACACATAGATAATAATATATAGAATTAAATAACTTAATGTTTTAAATTAAATAAAATTATACAAAAAATAATTAGGCTGCTCTCATATATTTGCATAACAAACTAAAATATGTAATACATGTTAATTACACTTTTAGTACGTTTTATGAAAATGATAATTAATAAAATTATAAAGTTTATACATTTAAATCTTATATTTAATTTTATCTCTTAAATTGAAGCGCGATATTATGATTAGGATTTACATATAATTAATTATTGTTGCATTTTTGTAGTAAATATAACTGTTTATCATTATGCTAAAAAATAATCAATGAAAGACTATATTTTAATATTTTATTTGATGATATTTCTTTAATACAAAATGATAATTTATTGTAACTCACAAAAATAAATGAATAATAAATAAATAAAAGACTTACCAGATATAAATATATAATACATTTTGATGCTTAGGATAATGCATAAATAATTGCATAATCTATTGGCAAAATATATTTTATACATTTATTTTTTATTGATAATAAGTATACTGTGCTTTAAATCCAATGTGCGAATTGAAGGAATCTGTTAAAAATCTCATTTCTGGGAATGTGTTTCCAATGGCTGCTAAATGTACTGCAATAGATATATGAAATATTAATTAATTTTATTATGAATTTTGTGACACGGAAGCAAAAATGTGTTTCATTTAATACTTACTTATTCGATTCTGCAAAGAATGCCCACAATAGGCTCGACTACCAATTAAAAGTTTGTCCTTTTGAACAATTAGGGCTATCTTCTAGGCTGAATTCAATAAACCATATTCGAACCCTATTGAAATTTGGTCTTCTAATAAATCTAAAATTATATATACAAAGAATATGAGTTTATATAACTTATGAATAATTTTATTTATCCTGTTTACCTGTAACATATATTCTGATTAGGTGGATACGGTCTAGGAAAATTAGGCGACTGAAATTCGCCAGTAATTTGATCAAGTGGGTGACATAATTGGTTAGCATTTGGAGGAATGCATTGAGGTCTATTTAACCATAAAACTTCAGCTGATAGTTCAAGCCATTGTTTGAATCCCCACAACCTGCATATATTATCATTTAAACCATTTGGTAAAAATATTCTTGCTGTAACATTTTCTGGCTCAAATATATCTATTTCTTCAGCATCTTTGTTCATGTTAGGCATTTCGAAAAAGTAGTAATTTATAGTACTATTAGTAGATCTTTGAGTCAATTGTGCCACTTGCAGATCTTTGGACCTATTACTATGAGTATTTCCAATGTTATACTGTTCTGAATGATTGTAGTTTGAGAAAGCATTTTCAACTATTGATCGTTTTTGAGGCCATTTAATTCTATTATCAACGTCTTCAAATTCCATAATTTTTAATTCATCACCTGTTGATGCATTTTTTGTCTGCGCATTATTATCAATATATCTGAACGGGCAATCTATTTGAGTAACTTCTATAACAAAACCACTGATAAATGAATTAGGCACTCCAACATTATTATATCGTACTGTTATTGGTAAGTTTCCCCAAAATACGTCAAAAACCAAACCGCTTCTGCAACCACAAAATCTACGTCCATCTATCTCAACAAATCCTTGGGGACATGTGGATTGTTGTTCATTATTACCAGTCCAAAAATATCGAAAATTAAACCTTAATTTGCAGGCGTTTAGACTTCGGAAGATGCGATATTGACAATCAATTCTACCTTGAAATCTGCTTGGAAATCCTGGACTGGATATCAAAAAACGCTTTTCGAAAAATGCGTTTGCACAACAGAATGGTATTGGCAAAGGAGGACTGGTTGGAAATCCTCCAGAACCAGGAAAGTTTGGTAGATGGGGATTAGTTGGTACATTAGGTCCAGGATAATTTGGTACAATAGGTACGCCAGGTGAGGTAAGAAAATTTGGAGGAAATGGCGGTATTGGCAGTCCTGGTGACAAGGGAAAATTTGGTATATTATTTGGGTAAAATGGTACATTTGGAAAAGGATTTGTTCCAGTAGGCGGTACATAGTCAAATTGCGGTTCATTTTTTGGCTGTACTTCTGGTGTCACTTCTGTTGCTGGTATGATTTCTACATCAGTTTTATTTGGAAACAAGAAGGAAACACTGTTGTTTATTTGGTCTTCAAATGATTCTTGATCATTACTCTCTGCTTCAACTAAAACTGTTTCTTGTGTACTAGTAACTGGATTTACTTCTTTGCAACCCAACTGCGTAACCTTGATTTTAAATCCTTTTTGTTCAATATTATCATCCGATACAAATTGCACGTATAATTCATTAGTTTCTGTACTATAAGTATTTACACCAATTTGGTTGCCACACAAAACATCATTATCCAAAATCTTTAACTTGTCTTTGTTGCATTCATAAGAGGTTTCCAGATTGAAATCAAGAAATTTGAAGTTGAAATCGCACTTGTTACCGTTTTCGTTTCGAAATATGTATGTGCATAAAAAATTTTTTGGATAAGAGTTTGGATAATTTGGGGATGTAACTATTGTTTCTTTACCCGAATATATTTTACCACAAACATTAGTTTCTTTCAACTCCGTAAAATTCGCATTAATTTTCAAATTCTTGTTTGAAGAAATATTTTCACTAGCAACTGCATTTCTTTTATATAAAATATTTACAAATAAGAGAAATAGAACTATATTTTTACACATTGTTTTTATATAACTCTCGTTCATAACCATTAGTTTCAAATGTTTTCACTTAATGAATAAACCGTGGTAAAAAGCTGACTTTTGTTATATTTAAGTAATCTTATCTCTTGTTTATTGAAAGTGAGATCAATTCTTGAAATTGTTACTCCAGGATATACGACATCCGTATACTTAAGCGCATTTGTTTAATATTATGTAAAAGCACATTTAAAAACATTACATTGACAAGAATCTGTCTGGATTGATGTAATAAAATGTCTGGTAAAATATGTACATTAATAGATATTTAATTCACACTTTTGTATTGACAATTAAGCAAGAACAATGTATGATCCGGAACAATAGACTAAAATGAACGTTTAAATAAAATTTAATTTAGAAATAATAAATTCAGGAAATAAAGGAAAGAAAATTAGTCATATGACTTGAATTCAAACTTATTCTTATTGTAAATTGTTCTCAATGTGATGATTCTTATATAAAACTCGAAGCAATAAAACAAATTTTACGTTATATATATAATATATTTGATGGGTATTTTAAAAATTTCTCAAACGATATGCATTATTTGACTTCGGTTGTTACTTCATAGTTTGCTCATGACGTCTTTCCTGGAAAGTTGTGCGTAAATAGTTCCAGATGGTTTATCCACCGGCATGAAGACTTCTTTGTTATCTCTTGGCACGACACTTCTTGGGAATTTGGAAAAGTCGAAGGTGAAGTAATGTTTGTTTGGCATGGTCATCTCGATGGTACTCATCTGGAATAAAAGAAATACATATTATAACTAGAAGTATATCGTTGTGGTTTGAGGTAGTGTATATATTACGTGAAAATTAATATTCTTATTGAATATACTTAGTGAAAATTCAATGTATTTTTTTCAATACTTACTTGAGGTACGCGTTCCAATGATTCCTTTTCTGCCAAATACAAGGTCTTTTGAACTGAAGGTGAAAATATACCTTTGTCTGGGCAACCTGCAAAATTTCTGATGATTGAATCTTTTACAATATCCCAGGCCTTATCGAAATCTAATCCATCTAAAGTCTTGTACTCCCAAGCGGCTGTGACTATTGTACTAAATATTCTGTCGTACGCATCTGGCAGAGATCTAAAAATTATAAAATAGAATGAAATGTCGCGTTGACAAATATATGTTTCTGAAATGTATAATATATTTTTTTAAATAAATATTATATACCTGTAATCGTCATTGACAAACCCAGTGAATGCTGATTGCGTTGTTTTGAGAACACGAAGATCCTTCAAACAACTTCGAACGACCGGGGTTTCTAAGAGAAAGAAATGAGAATAATCATAATTTTATTTTTGCTTTACAATGTAGCATTTTTGGACTAAGATTATTACAATTATGGTAATTTTCAGACTACTTCCTGTGTCCTGAACGCACGCGACGACCCGGGTGTAAACATACCGGGTCGTCGTGCTGCAAACCAAAAATGTTTAAGAAATTAGCATAACTGTTAGTGTAATTATTAATTATTGCATTTTAATTATCAAATTAAAACAATAGTTGTGTGTATTGTTTAAAACAATAGATTTATATGTATTATTAATAAATATGATCTTTACCGTATTTTTTCTGTGTAACCACACAATGTCTGACCGCCGACGGGTTGAAAATAAAAGCATGTTTGTGCTGTCTTTCTGGTTGTCCACTACCCTTAATTCTTTCCCAAGGGTACATTTCTACAGTAGCACTGCATTCTAGAACATGAGGGTATGTGTGCAAAAAGTGTCTGCATAATAACAATCCAAATTCTTCGGGTGTATTCACACCATGTTGATTAGCCAAAAGGTACACTGTGTTTTTTTGGGAGTCAGTGGCTACTATATCGACATTATCTCCCTAAGAAAAAAATAGATTTGAGGAAAAAAAATTCATGAAACTTAACAAATATATAAAAAATTGTATACAAAGAATATTTGGAAAACTCAATATCTAGTCTAGCAATTCATTACGTCACGTAATCAATGGCAGATTAAATCTCAATGCATAGAATTTTTTTTAAAAAATATAATTAATTAAAAAATGCCACTAAAACTTTTTATTCTTTCAATCTGCTAAGAATATCAAGTATCAATATATTTTTTTCTGAAAATATATCAGTATATTTTATTACCTTTAGGTAATCTACATCCGATGCAAGTTTCAAATGAGTTCCAAAACTTCAAATTCTCTAATATGATGT